CTTACCGAGCTCGAATTCTGTAAAGAAACTTCAGTATTGGCATATTGACACAACGATTTTGGCACTAATGTGACTCCATACTTGAGGAGCTGTCCTTTCAGCACCAGCTCTTCCCCGTATGGAGGCACATTAGTGGCACAAAAAAAGACGAGTTTTAAACCCGATAAATAATCCGATATTTGACACTGACCTGGAATCTGTGTGGCTTGATCTCTCCAGATGGTCGCTGCTCTGTCCTCTTCTCTTGGCTGTCATTCCATTACTTTACTTCCATGTTTTGTCCTTTTTTTAAATTAAAAAATAATCACAAAGGTTCTTTAGTTTCAAAGCGATCATCAACAAGGCTGAAACTCTTCGTCGGGTCCTCAGAGTGGAAGAACCTGAGTGGAGGAGAAACACGTGCCTGCTTCTCAAAAATAGACTTTTTTTTCTCCAAAAATCACTATAATCCCATTACTGAATAGCAGCTCTTGAGGGAATATCTACACGTCTGCTGCACCTTTTATTTCTTCTACTCAGCGTAAACATAATGACTAAACGAGGGTTCGAAAAGTAAAATGTGGCTTTTTCCTTGTTGTTTTTTCACTACTTGACTTCTTTTTGTTGTATGTACACGATGTTCGGTCCGTTAATCCCGCTCCAAGTGTCGCGTAATTATTCCAGGTCCTTGATTATCTGCAGCACGTGTCCTTATATGTGCGTGTTGTTTTCAAGTCCACGAGGAGCTCGTGCTCTTCAAAGGGCCGCGCGGTGCATCACGTGGTCCGTGGTTCCGTCCAGGAAGATTCAAAATGTGCTTTTTGTCAATCAGCCCCGTGGCAAATGTGTGGATCCTCCGACAGTGTTCGCGCAGAGGCTCGGGGCCCGTTAATGGGGTTTATTCTAATCAGATACTAAGAGTCTCTGTGAGTGTCCTCGGAGAGGAGCCTACAGGTCGGTCTCCCGCGTGTCCAAGCAGAACGCGTAAAGGGACCTCTTGAAGTCCAGGCTGCTGTTCGCCTTGATGTTCGCCTTGTCCGCGGACCCGGGCCCTTCGGTGCTCTCCGCCTCCTGCTGCGACCTGGAGGACGACTTGCTGCCCTTCCGCTTCAGCTCGGGGCTGGCGGGGCCGCTGTTGGGCTCGTCCTTCAGGGACGACTGGTCCTGGTCCGTCTCGCGGTGGTAGAAGTAGTTGAAGTTGGACACGATGACCGGCACCGGCAGCGCGATGGTCAGCACGCCGGCGATGGCGCACAGCGAGCCCACGATCTTCCCCCCGACGGTCACCGGCCTCATGTCCCCGTAGCCCACCGTCGTCATGGTGACCACGGCCCACCAGAAGGCGTCGGGGATGCTGGAGAAGTGCGACTCCGGCTCGTCCGCCTCCGCGAAGAACACGGCGCTGGAGAAGAGGATGACGCCGATGAAGAGGAAGAAGATGAGCAGGCCCAGCTCCCGCATGCTGGCCTTCAGGGTCTGCCCCAGGATCTGGAGCCCCTTGGAGTGGCGGGACAGCTTGAAGATGCGGAAGACCCTCACCAGGCGGATGACCCGCAGGATGGCCAGGGACATGGCCTGCTGCCCGTTCTGGTGCTCCTGGCCCTGCTGCTCCGCCAGCTCCGTGCCCACTGTGATGAAGTAAGGCATGATGGACATGATGTCGATGATGTTCATCACCGTCTTGGAGAACTCCGACTTGCTCGGGCACGCGAAGAAGCGCACGAAGAGCTCGAAGGTGAACCAGATGACGCACGTGGTCTCCACGATGAAGAAGGGGTCCGTGAAGGTGAGGGACGGCCGCGGCGCCGTGCTGTTGTCCAGCCGCCCGGTGACCGGAAGCTCCCGCTCGTCCCTGAACTCCGGTAGCGTCTCCAGGCAGAAGGTGATGATGGAGATGGTGATGACGATCACAGACACGATGGCGATGCCCCGGGCCGGGATGGAGCTCTCCGGATACTCGAATATGAGCCAGACCTGCTTCTGGAACTCGTTCTGCGGCAGCGGCTTCTCCTCCTCCTTTATGAAGCCTTCGTCCTCGCGGAACCTCTCCATGGCCTCCTCCCCCAGCTGGTAGAACCTGATCTCGTCCGCGAACACGTCGATGGACACGTTGACGGGTCTGCGGATCTTCCCCCCCGACTGATAGAAATACAAAATCCCGTCGAAACTCGGCCTGTTGCGGTCGAAGAAGTACTCGTTCCGCAGCGGGTCGAAGTACTTGATCCTCTTGGCGGGGTCTCCCAGCAGGGTGTCGGGGAACTGGTTGAGGGTTCCCAGCTGCGTCTCGTACCGCAACCCGGCGATGTTGATGAGCACCCTCTCGTTGCTCTCCGCGTCCACGTCGTGCATGTCCAGCGTGTCCTCGTCGAACAGATGGGGACTGTGGTCCGCGCGTAAAAGCGCATCCATGGCGTTCTCGCTGCAGCTGAACGTGTTGTTCATGTCGTTGATCTTCCACGAGCTCTGCTGCTGATGAAGATGAAGAGGGTGATGAGGGTGATGGTGGGAGTGATGCTGAGGACTCGCCCGGGTGTTCAGCTCTTTGCCGAAGTCCTCTCCGAGTCCAGTTTGAACGAAGCCCGGCTGAGGGACATCCAGCGCGTTCCCGCAGCTCTCCTCGGCATTGTTGCCTCCACCTCCTCCTCCACCACCTCCACCTCCACCGCTCCCTTTAGCGCCGCCGTTCTCAAAACTCACCAAGGCTATCTCCATTCCGCAGCCATCCACGGTTAGTGCGCGTTGATGGGGCGCGCGAGCATCCTCAGAGACCTGCGGAGGGAAACGAGAGAAGTTCCCCCTTAAACGCGCGGATGCAGAGATGGAGGCGGCTCCTCCTCGCGCGCTGCTCTGAGGCTCTAAGCCGCTACTGATGGGGATGAAATGTGCAAACCAGCCGAGCGAGAGGACCCGGATGAGAGAGGGAGGGCGGTGACGTCACAAGTGCCGCTCAGACCGTTTAGCTGCCTCTAAAAACATCTGTGGACGTGAGACAAGCGGTCTGTCTCTCGGTGTCCCCGCTGTCCCGCACCGCTAACTGATCCACACGCAATGCGCGCAGACAAATTACATCCTGGAAATAACAGTTTGCAGAATAAACTCGATATTGTGTATTATTACAAATAATCCTTCATCCAGGGGGGAGGAGCATGAGGAGGAGGACCAGGAGACAGA